CTTTGTTTTCCTGGAGTAGCGAGGTGAAGGTTTGACCGTAAAGGGCGGTATAGAAGGCGGGGTTCTTCGTGACGTATATGGCGTTCGCGATGGTGGGGATGGTGGGGGCGGCGGTGGAGGAGAGCGGGTGCCGCGGGGAGTCCACGATGGAGCCCTCGTGCTGCGGCAGCTCCAGCCCCGCCACGCCGTCGTCGTCGCTCATCTCCGAGTCGATGATGTAGGCCGACCCGTCGGGGTTGTACACGATCTTCCCGTCGAACTTTTCCACGTCACTCGACGACTCGTTCATCGCGTCCTGCGCGGCGCCCGACGCGACGCAGTGGTGCCGCGTGTACTGCTCCGCCGACGTGAAATGCGTGTGGCACGTCATGCACGTCAAGTTGAACGTCGCTGGCGGCGACGCGGACGACGCCGACGACGACGAGGAGGTGGCGTTGGGGCCCTGTTGCGGCAGGGGCCCTGGGCCTTCCTCGCCCGCCAGGGGGGAGGTAGAGGGGGCGTCCTCAGGACTCATAGTCGGAGGGTCTTGCTGCTGCGTCTGGCTAGGGGCTTCTTGAGGTTCAGTGGGAGGGTGTGGGGGGGCCGGGGGGCATCCCTTCAGAGGCGGCTCTCCCAGCTCCTCTCCGGGCATGGCGGCACGGACACGGCGCCTCCGCTAGTCACAGCCCTCAACCTCCACGCACCATCTGGGGACAGAAACGGATCGCGTTAATAGCGGTCGCACAAACTCCTTATCTCTAGATAACAGTAAACTCTACCGCTTAGCCACAACCCTGCGCTAAGAGCATGGTCATTTCATGAAAGGAATACAAGGCAATAAAAATACAGAACAGGAACCTTACAAAAAACACCGTGGAAATTTTCAAAGCAACACACAACAACACCTTCACCGCTGTAAAAGCGGCCTTCCAGCCCCTCCCCCTCCTCCCCTCACCCTACCCTCGCCCCAACACGCAAGCAATAACACAATACCCACCCACGACCGCATCCAAGCACGCAAACACACACGCAAGTACGTGGCGCCGACGAAAGAGAGGCGAGGGAGAGACAAAGATAAAAGAGCAAGCGAAATACAGAGAGAGAGAAAGAGAGAGAAGAGAGAGAGAGAGAGAGAGAGAGAGAGAGAGAGAGAGAGAGAGAGAGAGAGAGAGAGAGAGAGAGAGAGAGAGAGAGACTGAGAGAGAGCGGCACAACAGTCCTATCATATTGCTCACATTACCCCAGACTCCAGGTGCGTCGCGCTCCGTAGCCTAGTCTCAACACCACTGATTCTCCAAGCTGATACGCCTCTCCCAGGCCGGTTTAAACTCGACTATAGTTACCGTTTCCTTAAGTCCAGTTTGGCGACTGTCTCTCTCTCTCTCTCTCTCTCTCTCTCTCTCTCTCTCTCTCTCTCTCTCTCTCTCTCTCTCTCTCTCTCTCTCTCTATCTCTCTCTCTCTCTCTATCTGTCTCACTCTTTTTTCATTTCATTCTCATTGAATCAATCATCAATATCATTTTTAGCATCATCCTTATCATTAGAATTATTGATGTTTGCGCCGATGAACACCACCCCCCCCTCCCTTCCCCCGCCCGAACATTTCAGCTCCGACATCGGCCCGACACCCGACCCCGACCGACCCCGACCAGCGCCCGACGCTCCGACAGCCGGCGCTCGGAGGGCTTTTAACGTCGGGTGGAAGCGGCGCCTTGCACGTGTATCCTGCAAGATGCAACAGCGAGCAACCCGAGAAACAAAGCCCGGCCGGCCGAGGGGCACCACTTTAAAATGATAATGAACGGGGAAAATATATATGCGTTTATAAAAATATATGTCTCGCTCTTTTAACCGAGTTCGTGTATTATTTATGGAAATAAATACAGCATCACTTTCGAAAGAGTCTATGTGTGTATACATATGCATATACATAAATACATACCAACAAACATACACACGTTATATATATATATATATATATATATATATATATATATATATATATATATATATATATATATATATATATACATACATCACACACACACACACACACACACACACACACACACACACACACACACACACTTGACTCATTGGACTCCAAGAAATCGCCCGCATCCGCACATCCGCATGCAACCGCAGTCCTAGTCCCGCCACCTTTTTTCTTTTTCCTCTTCCTCTCCCTTCTCCTCCTCCTCTCCCCCCCCCCCTTCCTCCTTTCCTCCCAACCACCCTTCCCTTCCCTCCCGGCCGCCCTACCTGTCCGCACCTGCCGGGGCGTGAACCGCAGGTATATAGGCCCACACACCGCCCGCGGGACTCGCCTCTGGGTGCTCTACAAAGGCGACCGCGGGCGTGGGGCGGGGGAGGGGAGGGGGGGAGGGGAGGGTTGGGGGGGGGGCATCCGCGGGACACTTGCCCAATAAATCAGCTGTCGTTACTACCACGCGAGGAAGAGGAAGAGGAAGAGAAAGAGGAGAGGAGGAAGGAGACGAAAAAAGAGAGAAGGGAAGGAAATAGAAGAGGTATAGGAAGAGGAAGAGGATGCTAAAAAAAGGAAGAGGAAGAAGTCGAGGAATAAAGAGGAGACATAGAGAGAGAGAGCAGGATAAGGGGAAAGGGGAAACCGTGAGAGAGAGAGAAAAAAAAAACAAAAAAAACGTAAGAACGAAAGAGGGATATTCATGCATTAAGAGATAATCCGAGAGTGGTTGGGGAGGAGGAGGGGTGAGAGAGACTAAAAGAGGGGAATGGAAAAGGGGAAAGAAAAGGAAAAAAAAAAAAAAAAAGGAAGGGAAGGAAAGTGCTATCGGACCACACCCTACCCCCTACCCCTCCCGCCCGCGCCCCTTCCCCCTTCCTTACCCCTCCACCCCCCCTTACCCCCCCCTCCCTATTTACGATCTGTCACATGATTCCGCCCACGATCATAATTACACCCACACACGAGGTATCGGCGCAGCAAGCGGCAGGGACGGCGCTCGACCCGAGACGAACCCGCCGCTGCTCCCTCTCTCTCCCCCTGGAACTCCGAACCCGATACCCGAACCGCAGCATCTCCGGATTGACGTAACGCACAACGAAGATCATTAACGCCCATGAACCATGAACCATTAACCCCTTTTTTTTTAAACATGAAGAAGCACTAATATTAAATGAGAGGCGGTTTATTTACCTTTAAAGGGCGGGCTGCCAATTCACCATCGCTCTCTACATCAACAAATTTGTATTAATCGCACGGATCGAAAACAAAATAATTTATATCAATTACGCAGGGTAAACAAACAAAAACAGAGCAATACCAAAACAAAGAAATTATATATCCAAACAAATTGACATGAATAAAAATGACAAAATAAAAAAGACAAACAACTTTACATCAATCATACATAAAAAAATGCTCTGATCAAGACCATAAAAAATGCAAATAAAAAAGAAGAAAAATAAACGATCCACAACAAGCAATCCAAAAAAAAAAAAAAAAAAAACGAATAATAAAACACCAGACGACATTAATCTTAGCCGAGAAACCCCCCCCCCCTCCTCCCCCCCCCCGCTTAGGCCGTGAAATCACAAATCCACCGGCGCTCCATAGGCCTATTGTTCCCCGGCTCAAGCTTCCGGTGTCAATCACGGAATTCACAATCGCAATTAAGCCATCGAATGACACATCAAAGAGCGATTCGCATTCCGAGGATTTACTTGTTTGTGTTGAAGTGTAACGTGAGAAGATGAAGTGTTTGAGAGTGAGAGAGAGAGGGCAAACTAGAGAAAGAAAGAGAAAGTATGTGTCTGAGTGTGTTTGTGTTTGTGTATGTGTGTGTGTGTGTATACCTGTAAATATACTTTATTATATATATTATATATATACACATTTACATACATAATATATACATATATATATATATATATATATAATATATAATATATATATATATAAACACGCAAACACACACACACACACACATAAACAACCTCCCAAATAAGTAAAAAACACACGAAAAAAAAATCTAAAAAAAAAAAATCTATATTAATAAAACCCCGATAAGGCTTCACCAGCAACCGAAGTCCAGCAAAGGCTTATTGGATACGACGTGAGACTTTAATTAGTTCTATAAAGAGCTCAAATAATCTCGAGATCTTAATTCAGCGTCGCTTTTTGCTCCACTCAAGCTTAGTGACGTTGCAATATCTCCCCTCTTGCAACTGCAGCACGAAAGTCGTCTATAGAGGCTACAATTGACAGCGAGAGCGATAAGGATCTCTTGTATAAATATTCCTCTCGCGGTGGATACGCTAAAGGAGAGAGAGAGATAGAAGGGGGGAAAAATAGAGAAGATGGAGTAAAGGAAGATAATGAAAAGAAGAAGAGGAAGAGGAAGTACAGGAAGATGAGGGAGGTGGAGAAGAAGAAGAAGAAGAAATAGGCGTTAACGAAGATACAAGGAGAAACTGAAAATATCAAAAAAATAAAAATAAAAAATAAAAATAATAAAAACTAGAAAAAAGGAACAAGGACAACGACAAAAGAGAATCAGAAGATAACAATAAACAGAAGCAGAAATAAACAAAGAATCAGCAACGGAATGACGACGGCAGAAATAAGCAGAAATCGACCTTATAGAAATAATTAAGGCACCGCGGATATAATCAAAATACCCGACTAGCGATATCAAAGCGAACGCCATAACGCCATAAAAAAACGATATTTAACAGGTGATATAAATGTACATAAACTTTATTTAATGTCAATCTTTTATTCAAATCTTCTGTGATCATGAATCGTGACATATTCCCGCAACAGAAGCCTAGAAAGCAAAAACATAATGATGCTAATGCTATTAAAACTACCAAGAGCAATAATAATAATAATAATAATAACAAAGACAACAGCCATACTAACTCGCGTCCGTCAACGTCACAATAAATAAATAAATAAATAAACCGATAAACAAAAAATAAAAAAAGAAAATTACCAACCTCAAAAAAAAAAAAATGTCAACAAATAAATACAAATAAAAAATGTCAACAAAGCAAATACAAATAATAATAATAATAATAACCATCATCAGCATTCTCATTATCCCCTTAAAATCAGCATAATATTCGCACATTCCCGACGCCCGCATTTTCCGCCACCGCCAGACCGATCCTCCGCAAGAAAATATTTTCGGCGCCACTACGTTTATTAACGATAACGAAAACGGAATAATAATTTCTGTCGTTTAGCATTTTCTTCCTTCCCTAATTTTTCTTAATCTTCTTCCGCGGATGAATTCGTTCGTTAGACCGGAAGGAAGGAAGGACACGAAAAGATGAGAAGAGAGAGAGAGAGAGTGAGAAGAAATAATAGAAAAACGGAAGAGAAAATAAATATATAAAGACAAACACAGACAAGGAGAAAGAGAAAAAAAACTAAAGAAAAAAGAGAAAAAGAACGAGGAAGACCTAACGAAAGAGAAAAGAAGAAGAAAAAGAAGAGAAATCCAGATAATATCCTACACCTTAAGTACTACAACTAAGCGCATTAGGATTAAGAGTCCCTGCAGATCGCCCTCGAGACGCCATGACGTAGGCGAAGATGAGAAGGAAGAGAGGAATAAGAGGAAAAAGAGGAGAATAAGAGAAGGAAGAGGAGACAGGAAGGAGGAGGAGAGGGAAAAGAGGAAGAAGAGACAGGAAGGAGGAAGAGAGGGTAAAGAGG